TCTTCCAAATTTCTTGGCATAGACAAGTAAGTGCCTCCAGCGCAGCATCCATTTGTTGAAACATCTCAATGGGTATTCTGTCAAATCCTGGAGCCTTGCTCTTCTCCAGTTCCTTCAATGCAGCTTCAACTTCTTCCTTCAATTCTGTTGGTTCTTGAACATATGCCACCTCCTGAAATGGATGAACATCGACCAATTCTTTTTGGTACCGTGATTCCCGGGTATTCCTTCCATCTTCTCTCAATGTTTCCTGCATTATTCAATATTTTGCCCACGTTGTTGCTGTTGTTAGGTGCTGTCAAGTCGTCTCTGATTCATAGCAACCCCATGCACAGCAGAACGAAACACTGCCCGGTCCCGCGCAAGCTCCATGATACTTGCTATACTTGAGCCCATCACCACAGCTACTGTGTTAATCCACCTCATTGACGGCCTTCCCCTTTTTCATCGACCCTCCACCTTACTAAGCTTGACATCCTTCTTCAGGGAATGGTCCCTTCTGATAACATGACCAAAGTAGGTTAGACAAAGCCTAGCCATCCTTGCTTCCAAGTAGCATTCTGGTGTACTTCCTCCAGGACAGATTTGTTAGTTCTTTTAGCAGTCCACGGCACTCTCACCATTCTTTGCCAACACTTCAACTCAAAAGCATCCATTCTTCTTCGGTCTTCCTTATTCATTGTCCAGCTCTCACATGCATATGAAGTGACTGAAAATAACAAGGCTTGTGTCAGGTGCACCTTAGTCCTCAAGGAGACATCTTTGCTCCTCAGCACTTGAAAGAGGTCCTTTAAAGCTGACTTGCCCAGTGCTATATGTCATCTGATGTCTTGACTGCTGCTTCTATTGGCATCGATTGTAGAATCAAGCAATGTGAAGTCTTTGACAACTTCAATCTTTTCTCCATCTATTGTGATACTGCTTATAGGTCTAGCTGTGAGGATTTTTGTTTTCTTTATATTTAGATGTAGTCCATACTGTAGACTGTATTCTTCAACCTTCATCAGTAAGTGCTTCAAGTCATCCTTACTTTCAGCAAGCAAAGTTGTGTTGTCAGTGTATTGTAGGTTGTTAATGATTCTTCCTCCAATCCTGATGTCACATTCTTCTTCATATAGTTCAGCTTCTCAGATTATTTGTTCAGCATATTGAATAATGGTGAAAGGATACAACCCTGACACACTCCCTTCTTGATTTTAAACCATGTAGTGTCACCTTGTTCTATTCAAATGACAGCCTTCTGGTCTACGAACAGATTCCTCATGAGTACAATTAAGTGTTCTGGAAGTCCCATTCTTCTCAATGTCATCCATAATTTCTTATGATCTACACAATCAAATGCATTTGCATAGTCAATAAAACACAAATAAACATCTTTCTGGTATTCTTTGCCTTGAGCCAAGATCCATCTGACATCAGCAATGAAATCCCTC